CTTCAATCCCGCTGGTTATCGCTCTGACCTTGGGTGCGTTCGAGGAGTTGAAGCCAGAGGAGTAAGGCGAAAACTAGCCGACCAAGATGGCGGCTACGGGTAACTCGAGTAACTAAACGAGCGCGGAATTTATAATATATGAATATTATTCATTACTTTGACTATGAAAATATGGACTGCTAGTTACCCCCATTTTTTTTATCTAACCCGTGTATAAAGTCCGTGATTCATGCTGCTTGCTTCTTACGTTTCAACTGGCACCCTGTTTTCGCATATATATGCAAAACTGGGCATCGATCATGCAATTTTTCACTAGGAGCGAAAACGTAACGAGCGAAAAGTTTCACATAAATTTGACAATTTTATCCATCGAATTCGCGTGTAATTTTTCATTTTTCCCGTTTCCGCTCTTACGAAAAATTACATGATTAATGTCCTGGATGCATGAATATCTGTATATGTGCGAATTTTCCTGGCTTTTTAACACTTTATGCGTTACGGCATTTATGCACACATGTGTACAGCTAGTCGTGATCGACAACGTCGTATCGCGTGTGTCGTGAAATGTTGCAACCAATTGTAGTTTGCATTGATTTTGCACGCTCGTGCGTTCGATAGACCAAATTTCTTGACAAGTCGCCGTAAATTGATCCGCTTTCTCAGAATTTCTCTGTTATTTTTTGCATGCTAAATTAATTGATCCTAAAACCAGTTCGGTATAATTAAACATACATTCATATTGCGTGTGGAAAAAGTTGTATTCGAGAACGCGAAAATCCGCTCATCAGCTCCCAACGGCAACGACATTGCACTGCTTCAAAAGCGTGAGATGCATCGCCGCAGGTTTTAATCGGCGGGAAAGCCACGCCTTGGGTCGATAAGACTGAGGAGAAAGATTAGCGGAATTAGTTACATCAATTACATCAATATGCAAAAACATAACGAGGAGAAAACGCACCACATCACCACCGCCACGGATAGTGATAGCGACATTGATAGCGGAACTGAATATGATGATTACGATAAGAAGAATCGCGACACCAAAAAGATACAATCGTTTGCCATCTCCTCCTTAAAGAAACAATCGTTTGCCATCTCCAAGGACGGCTGCGAGCATTATAAACGAAAGTCCAAGTTTGTAGTAAGTTCACAGTTAAAAATATTCCGTTGCTTTGATGTTTCATGTTCGAATAAGTAATTGAGTGTTTACTTGTAGGATATTTAAAATCAATTTAATATAAGTATCAACACTAAGTTTTGAAGTTTATTTTTTTCATCAAAGCATGATATAAAATATTTTTTACATTTTTTGGGTGAAAAATATTGAATATTGTCATTTAAATATTTAATATTTATATTTTATTTAAAAGATACTTTAATTTTTGCTCATCAAGATCTAGATTGCACATAAATAATAACATTATGTGATAAACAGTGATGTCATTGTTCTTGTACTTGTATCAATATAAATGAGTTTATTGATTTAATAAGTGTCTCATTTAAACATGTGCATGTTTGCTACTGAATATTACATCAGACAACTTTGATTTTTCTATAACTTTGTTATTAAATTTACAGATCTAAAATCATGTTTTTATATATAAAATCTTTTTTTATGTTGTATATATTTTTCTGACATTTATATCTATTAATATATTCAATATTTTAAATATTTTATCTCAAAATTTATAAACAATAAATATAATAGGAGAATAATAATATTATATGCTTTGTCTTGTAATTAATAATCAATTCTGAATAACATATGGACCTTTTTTTATAGACTCCTTGCTGCAATAAGGTATACACATGCAGGTTTTGTCATGACGAACAGGAGGCACATACAGTAAACAGGAAAGAAGTCACAGAATTGATATGCAATCTCTGTGACACTCGTCAACCTGTTCAAGCCACTTGTCAAAATTGTCACTGCCAGTTTGGCAAATATACGTGTCTTGAATGTAATCTTTTCGATGATGAGGATAAAAATCAATATCACTGCGATGGTTGTGGCATATGTAGAGTCGGTGGTCGTGACAGATACTTTCACTGTGCCAAGTGCAACATGTGTTTACCAGTTCAATTACAAAATGGACATACTGTAAGGAAATGATAGTGCAAAATGCATATTTGCATGATAAAAACAATTGTATTTATCATTGTAGTTATTAATATAGTAATTGTAGTTATAAAACATAATGAACAATGAATAATAACAAACAATTTATTTAGATTATATTTACACTACGGCATTTATTGCTTTATAAAAATTAAATAATTTTATCTTACAGTGTATAGAGAATGTCTCACATTCCAATTGTCCTGTATGCCTCGAAGATATTCACACAAGTCGCATACCATGTCACATTCCTAATTGTGGGCACTTACTTCATCGTACGTGTTTCGAAGAATTATTGCATTCGGGACATTATGCCTGTCCGACGTGTCAAGTATCGCTCCTAGATATGACAGATTTATGGAAGTATTTGGACACGGAAGTATCATTAACACCAATGCCGGAGGAATACAAGACTTACAAAGCTGAGATCTTGTGTAAAGACTGTCATGAGGTGAAATTTACTTCTCCATACATACATGGTCTGTCCCAAAAGTAATGAGACTAATTCTGGATTAATCGTTTTATTAAAAATAGGTTCAAATATACTTAATATTTTTTAAAGTAGAATCCTTGAGCGTCAATACAGCGGTTGCAGTGTTGCTGCCATTTTTTGTAGCAGCGCAGGAAGTCTTTATCTGAAATGCCTTTCAGAGCACTCGTCGTGGCTGCTTGGACCTTTTCAATTGTCCCAAAACGGTGTTCTTTCAGGTAGAATTTGAGTCTCGGGAACAAAAGAAGTCGGCCGGGGCCAAGTCCGGACTGTACGGTGGGTGGGAAAGCGTTGCCACATTTTTCTTGACCAAAAATTCCCTCACTTGAAGCGATGAGTGACTTGGCGCGTTGTCGTGGTTGAGAAACCAGATTTTTGCATGTTTAAATCTTCCGAAATAATACGATGCACATCCGATTTCGACAGTCCCATCTTATCTGCGATTAACCACCTCACACTCAAACGTCGGTCAGAGTCCAAAACAGACTTCACTTGAATCACATTGTCAGCAATTCTGGACGTTGATGGACGCTCTGGGCGTTATTCATCTGCGTCTTTTCTTCCTTCTTTGAACGCCTTGTGCCACTTGTGCTTTCGACAAAGTCTCGTTTCCATAGGCTTGTCTTAACATTTCAAGCGGATTTATCGAGTTTGACGCAAAATTTTATACTGCTGCTCCAAACTGCGCTGCATTTTTGACCGTGACGCGACACTAAAATGCTTTGCTGGCAATCTGAACGTTGAAACGGCTCGGAGGCAACTGAGTTGGGTGTGACTGTATACCTGACATCCCTTACCAACCGCTCTGTCCAATAGATTCATCCCCCGACTCTTTTGACTGACCCGCCAAAAATGGTTTCATTACTTTTGGGGCAGACCATGTATATTCCAAACGTTGAAGAGCAAATGACTAAAAGATATTAATGGAAAAATATTTGTTATTTCAGGAATCTACAGTAAAATTTCATATTGTTGGGTTGAAGTGCTTAAACTGCGGTAGTTATAACACCTGCAGGATAAAGGGCTCCCCTTCACCTGGTAATAATCAATTGTTAATTGTTTTACATCATTGCTGTAAACAATGATTAGTAATTCTTTATAATTTGTACAGATCTAAATTCTCTAAATGAAGCAGCTGGCAGTAGGACAACAGAAAACGAACCGTAGTAAGATCAAAGTTTGGAATATTATCTAAAATTATCCATTGAGTCTAGAAAGAGTACTAAGTAGAAATCATATTGGTGCTAATGATTTGAGAATATTTGTACTTTAGACGAATATTATTTTTATGACGTTTTGTAGCAAATTGCACTTTCGTGGCCTTCGTGATGTTTTTCGGCCAAATATTATTTAGCAAGTTCGTAAAATGAACTTATTGTTGTTAAATGACCAGTGATGTCATCAAAATTAGTACATTAATTGTTTTAGCCGATTATTTGTGACATACTGTGTATTTTTTTAGGATGAGAGTATATAGATCATTTCATTAATTTAAATTTAATTAATATATTAATATAAATATTCATTAATATAAATGTATTGACAAAAATATGTAGAATTCTTGTTTTTGCAATATTTAAATTAACACGTTGATTACCATGCGAGATTTGTGTATACAGAATATTAATTATTAAAATCATTGATACAATTATTTTATACTTAAAATATTTAATTTATTAATTATAATACAATAAAATGTGTTATGAAATATACAAAATTTCATATTTTTCATGTTTTGAATTTTATTATACATTTTGATTATTTACTATAATATTTTATTTGAAATAATGTGTGCTGAATCTCTCATGACGCGACAAAATGCAAAAATAAGAGCTGAATATGACTTCTATAGCTTAATATGACAATGTAGAAAAATAATTTTGCGCTAGCTCATATAATCTGTCGCAACAATCAACAAATGTTAAAAATAATAATTAATGAAATGATCTACAACGAAAATGTTACGTAATTCTTTTTCGCGTATATATTGTATTTACGCTAAGGACTTCGATTTATAGACATTTAAAGATATGGACATGCCACATACTTTTCTGTAGCACACATTGACAAAACGGAGAGAAACAATTTGGCAAATTACTTACAATAGTTAATCCTGTCACGGAAAAGATGTCTATATTTTGTTTCTCTCGCCGTTCTATTAAAGACAGGCATATACGTGTAGTTAAATGCCTAGTCTGTGTGCACACATTTGTGGCTTGATCATAACTGTTACTGTTCTTTTTGACATTCGAAGCAGAACATTTTGTTCAATGTCGGAAAGATTACATCAGCTATGCAATATTTTTGTGCAATGGCATCGAACCTACCACTGCGCGCCAACGCGCTACATGCTTTGTTTTTGACATTCTTATTTTAAAAATTTATTACAAACTTATCGCGCAAATTTCAAGCCTACATTCTTTAATATTTAATAAAAGAAAATGACTTCTAAATTGCTCAAAAAAATTCGCGGGTGAAAATTTTGCGCGGCAAGTCCTTGAACATTCTATATCATATAATTTATACGTATTTCTCGTGTCTAGATTTACTTCTGAAATGGCAATGCATTAATAACCGATTATTAATTACGCCTAAGAAAATGATTAGAGGATTATATACCAATGATTGTTTAAGAGTGAACGGAAAAAGTAGTACGCGAAAAAGAGATGTCGCGAAATTTTTCATTTTACTAGACAGTATATTGCACGGTGTCACCCCATCTTTGAGTAAAACTATATACTCTATGTCAAGTTTTACATAAATGTTTATATGTTTATGTATCATCGATAATATGCGATATCACTAAAAACACAATCTTTTCTTAAATACTGACGAAATCATTGAATCAGTAAATGGTAACTCATATATAGAGAGTTCTTGCCGAAACCTGATGGCCTAATTATTATTGCACTTTAAGTGACTTCACATTTTGAACAAATCGACTAATTAGAAGTAAAGGTTGAACTTGAGAAATTTCTGCTTGTAAATCTTCAGTATATATTCTATCTTATTTGGAAAAGATCTTATTTAGTCGTAATCTAGTCGGAGAAGCTTGAGCGTATTACTGTTCTCTCGTAATAATTTTTTTCTCGTACGTGTGAATGCTTTACACAAGAGCACAGATGTATTTACACGGGTGGCACATAATGCAACAATGAAATATTAATGTAGCGAATAATTAGGAAAATATTTTTCATTGAATAATGATGAAATATTAAATGTGTCTAATCTCAATATGCGTATCATGAATTCGCATTTCCTTTGAGAGGCATTTTTCTAGCTGCTAATATTCAACTATTAATATAATTCTACGTAAATCTGTTTTTTCTTTTTTAGAGAATATAAAATCTTTAGATAACGTATTTAGTAGGGATATCAGTCGTGTGAACTTTGCAATCTATTTGATACAAAATATTTTCTAGTTACCAAATAGTAGTCTTCGTGTACTTTAATAATAAACGACTGGATAAAAAGCATTAGTAGTTTTCTCTTGAAACGCGAGTTTAACTATTTCGTAAAATGACGTGTGATATTTTAGGTGCAATTTATTTTTTTGAGATTTTTGTTTCGGATTGGAAAGCAAGCCAATATCAGTGGGGTCAACTTCATTATTCCATTGTATTCCAAATATAGCAAATATTGCGATATTCTTAATAAACTGCGAAAGTGAACAGTTTAAAGATTCTTCGATAGCTTTCAGCATGCTTCATCTAAATATTTTTAAGAACAATATCGTGAGTGCAATGATTATTACATTTAATTATACAATACTGTTTGTTAATGTCATTAAAACAATATTGTTATAATATTGGACGTTTACCTGTCAACGGATTATCCTGAATGTATCTTGCACATTATGTGTAGAATTGTCTGTATTAGAGAAGCTTCGTGACAGAACGTAGATCCTATTGTGATTATCATCACGATTTTATTATTCACTTGTAAATTAAATACCAATTACAAAGGCTCTTTGTACATAACAGCTGCAATAACGCTTTTGTTTTATATTATGTATAATATACTATTGTATCAAATAAATCCGTTATAATTTTATTCTTTTAATATTTTCCTATACAATAGGATGACAAGAAGTGGATACTCGCAACCGAAAAGCGCGCACATCTTTCGGCAACAAGATATAATAACTTATACATACTTGCATTCATTCGATATTCCAGATACACTCATAACGAAAAGCAATATCGCCGTCTTTTCGGCGCAAAGTTCTATTTCATAAGATAATGGTCAATTTTTGCTAAATATAGCAAACAGTAATCTTACCTTAAGATTGCTCACGGAATGATAAACACAATAATTTAAAGAAATAGAAAAAATATTTCTCATAGAAATAAGAGTTCTTTGAAAATGTCCTAATATACAACATAAGTAATATGTACCTGATATCCTCAAGCAATAATTAGGCGTCATTGTTGTTTATCATATTATATCTATTTCCGTGGATGTGAGACTCAAAGTCGAAATGTCATTATGACGAATAACAATTATGAAATAGAAGAAGAACACAACGCGATATGTGAATACTTGATATCATTTGGCAATAACTAGACATCACGTTCAGATACACAAATCGAACTTGTTTTCTCATGGGACGAAGTACAGGCACAATTATACATAAAATTACAAACTTATATACGATCTACTTCTTATCATCCAATATGCGGACGAGGATTCATTTTCGTGTTCGCGTTTTTTTTTCTTTCTTTTTGCATCTCGGTGAAAACAGCGCGAGAAAAATCGTCGATTAAGTGCAACAACCCCGTAATCTCGGATGGCAATTCGACTGCACTGTGGCGCTTTCGTATGTGTCACGTACCGAATTCAACAAATTGCACTCGACGCGCCCGAAACTACTAACGATATCTACAAAAACGCATAACAACGGTGAGAAAATTTTTATACTACTCTTGCCAAATTTAAACAATGAAAAATACTAACGAAAAAGTATTAAAAAGTGTAGAAATTTGTAAAATTTGGATTTTACAAATTTAATCTATGTAAGGATTATGTATCTCTAATATCTTTCCGTCGAATACTAAATTAAATGATATAAGTAATTACTGCAAAGATTAAATTTATACATCCAAATTATTCACCTACATTTTTTGTACTTTTCCGTTAATATTTGTTTTATCACTGTTCTACAAGGATTCCAGATGAAACTCTTTTCGTCATATTTTTGTCACCCCGAGTACTGCAGAATTAATCCACGCACATCGAGGCAACCGATCGAATTCGTCGCTGTACCTTTCAAATTTATAGCGCGTGAAATATTCAATGGCCGTGTATTCCTTAAACGGAAGCGTAATACACTTCGTATCTAGGACTAGTTTAGCAATATGCCTTTTTTTTGTACCACACAGTGCGCCGGTCTTTCGCCTTTCATTCTTATCTCAGAAGTTCAAATAGCGTGGACGCAACGGGAATCCGTGACTGCTCAAAAAAAATCGGGCAGCGCGGGTCATCTCAATCTGATCGCGCGTGCGACCACACGCCACTGTTGTCCATTGCGTTTCCAAATACTATGAACAAAAGAAATCATCTGATAATTGCGATTTTAGTGTAAATTGTATTTTAGCGACAATTGCAGCGCATTTGTAGTATTAGTGAAAAAATTTGCTTAGAAATTTGCTGGAGAACAAAAACATTTTTATCTACGATATATAAGTATAATATTTATACATATTAATTTTCTAATTATTATTATTCATATTTCTCGAACCTTTAATACACAGATAAAAAAATTCAAGCTAAATGTATTGAACTATAATAGGAAATATTTCATAAAACAGTGTTCCACACTGCGCGATTCCACAACTCGTGATCTTTTTTAAATAGAATATATTTATATCAATCTGACAAATTTGGATAAATCTATTTTTTTCACACCCATAACATCAACTATAATATGAACACATACGGAGGTAGATAATTATTGTTAATAAAATTGGCGTTTATAAAATTATATCTACAAATACAAGCAGTATGCGAAAGAGATGAACGTTAAGCGAAAAACTTACCTTAGCGCGTTTTACCGGCCTGAGGGGCAGAGGGCTGATGTGAAAACAAGGACTGTCTAACGTGTCGAACGTGATTGCCCTCTTGGCATTAGGCTTCCGTTGTTGTTGTTGTATACACGTACAGTCGTGAGGAGTCTGGAAAGGATAGACACACTAGCTACAGCCGGCAAACAAGAAATGTTCTTAGAAAATAGAGTTATTTTACATTTCGAAGAGTCAATTTGAGTGACTCAAGATTACAAGTGACGAAACGGGACAGATTAAAATTTCGGTATTTTAGAAACTTTGCATCTTTTCTGAAGATTTACGAGATAGCTCGCTTTGAGGGTCCGTTTTCCTCGCGTGTTCAACGCATTTGATAGAGGAAGAGAGGGAGAAAAAAGAGAATAAAGAGAAAGAGAGTACCCACAATTTGTGGAATGACTAGGCCTTTACATTTTAGGTACGCGCCGTGCACTAGGGTCGTTTTCGACCGGATGCCCCGCATAAATATCTTTGGATTGTCGTTCGGGAAAAGGTTGAGGTACTTTGGTACGCTAGGCCAGGCCTGTACAAGGAGGATAATTTGCAGTTAGTATATGCAATTAACATGCGACAATTCAACGATTTACAAAAAAAAAACAAAGAAATATATATATGCATATAATATCTAAATATGATATATAGATATATGATACATAAATATATATATATATATTATACATACATACATATATATAATACATATAATATATAAATATAACACATAGATATATATTATACAAATATATATGAATATATATATATATATTAAAATTAATATAAATATCAAAAACACATTACGTTCGTGCAGGATTACTTTGGAATTTACTTTGACGAAGGATTTATGCGAAAGAATATTAACATGTTCGAAATGACAAAACACAAATAAAATATATATCGTCCCGAATGCATTAATGTGTTTACACATTTACGCTATTAATTCATTCGCGGCTCATTAGAATCCATTTTTGGCAGTATTAATAAGGGTGAAGCTCAAACAAAAACGAAACAAAATCGGTCAATGCCGATTATATCCATATATTAATGGCATATATTACACGATTAAAACAATAATTTATTCGAGCAAAGAACGTAAACGACCAATTTGTAAGATTTTTCGACAAATATCTATATAATATAAAGATATAAATTCATAAATAATTTAAGTAGTTTTTCTATCAATCGCAACCGAATAACATCAACTTTTTCTCTCTCTATGCGTATGCGTAAATAAGATTCATAGTTTTCAAATAATAAAATTAATAGCAATACTATGCATATAGATAAATAAATAATGGAGCCAGAGACGCGTCATAGAAATAAGTTAATATAAATAGATCGAGCGACCATAATACGCCTTACAAGTTAGTTGTTATATCATATTTAAAATTAACAAGAACGATAATCTTTGGGTTGGGCGATATTAGACGAAGGGGATACAGATAGAGCTGCATAGAAGAAAAAGAATTAGAGGATTATTGATATCACCTGCGCTCCTCGAGTTTCATTCTTAAATGACATTTGTAAGAAGCGTTAACGACGAATAAGAAACATGTGCATAGTTACAAGGCGAGGATGCAGGCACAAAACTTGAAGTACAAAGATACAGCGTTAAAAGGAGAGTTAGAAGGCCGGCTAGCGTGTCTAAGGACGATTGGTACGGATATAATACCAGGAAGAGGCGAGTTGGTTATGAATTTGACTTTGGGTATGTTGTTGTTCTACCTTCACGGGACTAGTCCCTGCCGTCAAGAAACTATCTTCCAACGCCATGGATGCAGGCGAGAACAGTGCAGAGGTGTCCAAACTCTTACTCTGTGAAAGAAGCGAAAGTAAATTATTAACCCATTCACTATACATTTTCTCCAAAACTGCGATTGACGAATGCAACATTTGCGAAATTATTGTCAAGTCAAATTTATTCTTTAAAAATCAATTACTTAACATAGTTAAAAAAGCAATCATAATTAATCGTTGCATTCAATGAACGCGATTCATTTGCCTGGAATAGTGAGCTCTAACGTACCGGTGTTTCCACAAGAAAACTCATGTCAGAGTTATCCTGGGCTGTATTCGACCAAGCCTGAGAAAGAGCCTTGCGCGCCCGTTTTCCCCCCGGTGCACTGTTCTCTTTACCGCGCCTTCGTATTGTACTGTAGCCCGAGTCCTGCAGGATCGTACTCGTTCCGGCCAAACTCTCACAATCAGTTTCCTGCTTGATTATCTCGGTCAGAGCGTCCAGCCGACTAGGAGTATCAGGTAACTGTACCGTTCCGCTAAGTCGCTCGATTGCAGCCAGAGCGTTTTTGAATGGCGTCGGCGTCCTCGGTGTATTACCGTCTGATACAAAGTATTGATAGAAATTGTTGTATCCTACGAAAAACTCAAACTTTTTTACAAGCGTTCTACATAAGCGTTATCTCGCTAGAGATTTTGTGCAATATTGTGAATCATTACTGAATTATTGATTTGATTGATTGGTTTAAAACCCACGTCACACACATGAATGTCACATAAATGTCAACAAAAAAAAAAAACAAAAAACAAACCGTACCGTTCTGACTTCGTCGAAAACTGGTCGGTTGCGGAGTCGTAAGTGGACCGGGACTGCTGCCTTTAGGAGTACTTGCGCATGGCCAAGACGTTTCCGGGCTCAGACTGTTCAAAAACTGAGAAGGGCTGAATGGAAGTTGCTTGATAGGAGTCGAAGGAGTGGTGTTTCCCGTCTGCAACGCTTGATTCATTATGATGTAATCCGAGTGGTTTCCACTGTCTGGGGTGTCTATCCTCTGCGGTAGAGTATGAACATTCCTTCGTCTACGCAATATAGGAGGCGGACTGCTCTTCTTCTCTACGTGCTCAGTTAGATCCTCCAGATCGGGCATCGGCATCAATCTTATTTCCGAGCTCTTCGCATCGGACGTTTCGTTCTGTATTTGTTGCAGGTTGTAATATCTACGCGAGAAAAAAAAACAGAATTTAAAAGTTGTCCGGTGAAAAAATGAAAACGCTACGTTATTTGCTTCAACGACAACATACTTAGGAAATGATGAAACTGTTTCGGTTTTCGTTCGAGAGGATCCTCTCTTCGATGGAGACTGCACGTGCTTTTCATTGCCGTGTGTACGTCTGTTTATGTGCAACGAATCTTGGTAACTCGTGACAGCATGCTGCGATCCCAAAGTTTTGATCCAGTCTAGTTGGTCGATATCGAAAGTCTGCGACACGCTGCCGGCCGTTAGAATCGCCGAATCGTTGCCGCTAATCGAGGTAATTTTTATTTCACTCTGGCCGCAAATACTATCTTCCAGAAGAAGAGAATCTCTTATGACAGTGGCGCCTTCTGTGCTTTTTCTTTTACCTCTACCTGTAAGTTCCATTCATTTTTCCTCACATTCTATCAAGTAGTGTATTCTTATGGACAAAAGCATGATTATATATTAATTTTCTTTTTATGGCAGGCATTACGTTTGTGTATTGTATTAAATTTTACTTTGTTATCAGTTTGAATTTGATACAACATATTGTAAAGCGTACCTTTGATCGCAGCTCTTCCTTCTTCACCTTCATACTTCCTCCTCATCGTACTATTCCAGTGATTCTTAATTGCATTGTCAGTTCTACCCGGCAAAAGCTTGGCAATCTTCGCCCATTGATTGCCGTACTTACGATGGGCCTCGACAATTATCTTATCCTCCGCATCTGTCCACGCGGTTTTCTTTATCCCCGGATTCAAATGATTGTGCCATCGCTCTCGGCACTGCTTACCGATCCGACCCTTCAGATGTCGCGCTATTAATGTCCACTTTTTCGGACCGTATTTATCTACAAGCTCAACCACTTTCTCATCCTCCTGTAAGACAGAAAAATTTTTTAAATATAGTAAATTTCGGCATTGAGCATAATATTAAGACATGTGATTCTTAAACAAAATGTAAACGAGCAAATTCATATCCTGCATTATCCTGCATTTTGATTACTCTTTTCAATAATATTTAGATTTCTTTGACATTATTTATTCGATAGATAAATAATTTAAATATAAAATATAATGTATTCTCTTTCTTTTTTTAAATAAATTTTTTAAATCTTTTTTTAACATTAAATTTTGTATAATTACAGTATAAATCTAATACTGCGAATTACTTGACTTGTTATACGAGACGTATATGTTATATTACTCGAGATTCGACATGCGAGTACAGGAGTAAAGATATCAAAAGTTATCTGAAGCGAGGATGCCAGCAGGGAAACCCACAATCGCGCACGTACGTGCATTCGATTCATGGAGCCGCGTTACTTGCCCTTGGCTGTTGCCAAGTGCATTGGCACGGCGACGCAGCATCACCGTATAAGCCCGAGTAATTTTTCTTATTGCATACTCCACCGGAGAGAGCGGCAAGCGCGAGTCTGCCTGAATCCCTGCGTGCATCGTGCTTCGTTCGCCGTCGTGTAGGCGGTATGCATAGTGCCATACAATGATAACACCGTTCAGTAATATATAAACTTGCTCGATTTCGAAAAAACTTTAATATAATCGCGGTATCGATTTGATCGTCGTACTAATAAGACGTGTTAAACCTTGAAATATATATTTATGCCCTTTCTGAATTTATTAATAATTTCTATAATTTCTGACAAATGCAGATATTAAGTGTATTTATATGCCGATTGCACATCTTTGTGTTACATGCATTTTTTACATACGTATTTAATTATTTTATAGTTGTTTTCTAGAAAGTCTGGGGAAAAAACTAGAAAACAATTCAATACAAATGTAAAAAATAGTTAAAAAATGATAAAATTTAATTTTTTATGCTTGCAAATAGAACGATAAGTAAGAAATAATATTTACCTCCTTCGTCCATGGGCCCTTGACCAGCTCCGGATTCACGACCTTCGCCCATCTCTGCTGGCACTGGACATCGCTCCGATCTGGAAAGTGACTGGATATAACGTCCCACCGTAGACTAGTGCCAAGCTGTTCCGCGTTGCTTACTAACTGCTTCAATAAAGCGTCCTGTAAGAAAAAAAAAACAAGCAATGAGTACGATGAAAAAACATTTCGCTTCAATTTATGTTCGCGATATTTTATCTGCGCGCCTTAAATGCACGAGACGAAAATGGACGGGTGCGGCGCATGGACGGGGAGATCGATCGACCTTCGTAAGGCTTTCCCACGTGAAGCCGTATAGTGCATCCTATGTTCTATGGGGTAACCGAGGCATCTGCCTCCCGGCACGGCGGCGCAACTCGTTGCAGAAAATACGAAGGGGGGACACATTTTTTTAGGGGGATCTCCACGCATTCATTGTTCCCCCCCAGCTTGCTACATGGAACCGATATGGTGTAACAATGTATACGCCTGTCTTATCGAGGATGAAAACGGGGAATCAATACAAGCTCAACAAATGTTTCGGCAGAAATTTCTCCGGAAAGATAAAAAGATCGTTTGAAAGTTTAGTTGAAAAAAATTCAAAATTAATTTCAATTTAAAAAAATGTGTTAAATCGATTTTTCTTAAATGGCAATAGTAAAAGCTTACTTCTTCTTTGGTCCATCTTCCTTTATTTATATGCTTCCCTTGATTGTGACTCGCAGTCGATATTTGATTTTGCACTTGGCTTGGCGCTTGATTTTGCACTTGACTTTGTACTTGATTCTCCTGGTTGATCGACGTACCGTACTCGATGTCAGAATCTCCGCCGCTAGTGGAGTCGTAACCAGATCGAGACCTGAAACACGCAACACAGACAGTGGAGATAACTTCGTTGAAATAAACATTGCAAATTAAAATAATATTTCGCAATTCTTTAAATATGACATAAATATTAATTCCAACCAGTAATTAAAAAATAATTGCAAAAGAGAAATTTGATTCATCCTTATTAATTATAAATAACATGATATTGCATAACGAGTGCCATTTATTTCTCTCTGTGCCTACAATCTTAAAAAAAAAGTTTTCAAATCAGATATTTTTAAATTTAGCAACGCCGATAGAAAACAGAAAATCAGATTCTCTGTCAATCTCTGTAAATAATGTTGCACGGAAACGAGTGTCTTCCTTTCTGTAGACTTATAATTATACACGTGAATCACAACCCCGGTAATACGAACCGAAAATGCGGAAGCCTAACGTACACATATGTATATCTTTTATCTGCCGGGAAGTAACGGCTAAGACGGGAAATCATGGATGGGTGAATATCCTTCCTGCCCCGATTTCTCTTCCCTTTCTTTGTCACAAAATTTTTATCGCCATCACCCTTTCCTAATTTCACTTCCATCGCTATTCGGGAAGCAATCTTGACCGCGAAAACACCGGCTTTTGCGGTCACGAGCGACTTGATCTTCCCTCATTTTGGAACTTCCTGTCACGTTCGTCCGCGAGTAATTGAAGTGCTTCCTTTTTAAATTTCTGCATCCTCCGCACATTCTCTCAATCGTCCCCCTCAATCTCGAAAGTTTTTATCTAAGATGAGAGAGTGTAAAATACACAAAAAAAAAAACAAGAGCGCGTTGGAATTTTTATTTAGCTTAATTAGATAATTAGCCAGAATTCTATCAATTATATCGAAATTTTAGAAATGGAATGCTCATTTTATCGAGACGAGTCTCCGAGATTGCCTGGCTGTTTTTGAATAATAATGCATCCGAGAACAGAAGGCAACATCGAACGCTCCTCTGCATGTACCGTGCAATCTGCCTCACCCTCGCTTTTTCCCCTTTCCTTCTCGCCCCTAACAGCTGCATATGGGGAGAGTCCAGGGTGAGCGACTGAGGATATAGTTAGCTATGCAACGATAGAGTATTCGCGAAGCACGGGTGTACGCGCGTGTTGTAAACATATGTGTACCGCAGATGGCCCGCGGTCCTGTCGTTCCTATTGCTTTTATAGCAGCATCGATCAAGATGCTTTTACCTCTAATGCCTATTTCAATTATAGATCTATTATAAAAATGTCGCATGAGTAAATAAAAATGTCATTTATCATGCCAGAAAAAAATCAAGATGCCATATGTATAAGAATATTTTTTGCTTTTCATAGAAATAATATATTTGCGGTCTAGAAAATAATTTTTGGCAAAAGTAGTTATGCAAAAATAACGCAGTCTTCTTTTGATATGCAGAATTAAACTTTGTTACAGAAAAAAAAGTTAAAAAAATCTAATGCACATCATAATATGCAAAGCATTGTGTAAGTCTAATGCGACTGTAATATATTTCAAGCGCCACATACTTGCTACAACATCATGGTTGTAGACGATACGCGAGATGAAATTACGTCATCACGAGCGGTTCAACACCACGGAATGCAAATAGGCTAAAACGACACCACTCTCGTTTAATTACATTCGAAGAAAGAACTTCTTTCAGAGCGGCGCCATCGCCGATTTGGACGCACAACAAACTAATTTCTGAACAATATTAATTACGACAAAAATAAATAAAAAACCTTTTTTAATTCAAATATATCATATTAATCGTCTGTATTTATAAATTGACCCACAATGCACGAAACAATAATTAATATGTTAATCACATGCACTAACAGATGTCGATAAGTAGGGGGGGGGGGGGGGGTTGGACCTGCTTTAATGCTATTTTTACCTAAGATTCTTGAAACGGATCCAGCCAAATTAGTATTTTTTTTAACGTTAGGGAAAGGGGGGGGGTTTAACCGTCCCCCTCCCTAGGTCCGCGTAGTGATCACATGTCTCGACTAATGATTATATACTACTTTTTATACGCGATAGATATTGATATCATCATGCTAAATTTTTTAACACGAAGACCGTCCCTCTGCAGATGCATGTATGTTTAATACTGATACGAAGCAAAACGTCTCGAGAATATTTAAAAGTCTCTAAGGTGCATTGCAAAAAGGTAGAAAGGGAGTGCCGTTGCAATGGAATGTGTCGAAACAAAGGATCGATGCAATCAGTAATTTCTATCAGAATAACAATATTGAGGAACGAATAACAGTTTTCGATATTTATATCTTCAGGATTTAATATAAATTATTTCTAACTATATATAATTTTTTTTCACGTGATGATCAAAACTTATCTCACAGCAAAATGCAGAGTTAAAAATAAAGAAGATGATCTCAACCTTTTTTGAATAACAGTAATAAGTCAAGCGACGATTTTTTACAGATAAATATAAAAAGATATTTATATATCTATAGAAATCCTGATATATCCTGAAATTTATATACACACGATTGTAACATCGCTATCGGAATTTTACGTAATTATCATTCATTATTATTTATGAAAACAACACGTCGAGTCGGAGATGTGCCGAATTAACACACGGACGGAACAAGTCGTCGACAAGTTACGTAAAGGCTTTTGCCTTCGGAGAATCTCTAACGGTCGCGACATCCTTGAAATTAAATCCTTCCAGCACGTGCGGCATGCCAAAGGACTTCCTTGGCATTTCTCATTCGCGAAAACACATTGGCATAATAACGGCTTCGACATATGAATGAACATGATCGCTGTCCAGAATGAAAGAAATAGTAAAGCGGAATTGTTGAAAGTGAGATTTTAATGAATAAATCAGGAGGAAGAAAATCGAAAATAAGTATAAAAAACAATCCTTAAAATAAAAAATCATACGAATAATAAAAAAATACTAACATAAAATATTAATTTCAAAATGTTAATTAAAAACTATATGTTACACACGTAAGCGCAAACTTAAGTTTATACTCAAGTAAATAATTCATAAAGCTTAAAGAATGCTGCATTACGAGTCCATGCAAGAATAAATTATTTCAGTAAGGATTAATTAATCAATGATTATATCAGATGCATATCTTCTAAAATGCTTTTTTTTAACAAAAGTAATTATATCTTGAACTGCATAATTAAATTGTGTAATTTATAAACTGCGAATCAATATAATGTGCATATGTGAAAAGTTTTATAATAATAATCATTGAGAATTCGAAGCCTCGTATAAATACAAGCTGAATAATATATTGGTTAGGAATGAAGTGATCCTTGAATGCCTATTAATCAATTTCGGTCGGCAAGAAGGGTGTAAGTGGAAGCAAAAAACGAACGCGACAAAGTTTGAAAAAAATTCAAGAGATGTCCAATCAAAAGAAAAAAATTTATAGGAACAGTATATAAGAAACTAAATAAAAATATACGTACATATGTAAAATAAAAAGTAGATGTTAAATAGTTATGTGAGTTTTACATAATTAATTATAAATATTTAAAACATTTTTTACAATCAGAAATTTCAGCAAAATTAAAAAATCGAATTTTTGTGACTGAAAAAAAACTTTCACTGCGTTGGACTTTCCATGAGGCCGGACAATAGTTACGTTAGTCAATAAATGGTGAAATAGCTGGAGAAAATCTTTTGTTTCAACAATAAATGGTGACAACATATTAAAATGTAACAAATTAGACGAAAAAATGAAAAAAGATAATAAAATGGAAACTGAAAAAAACACTCACTTCAACAAATTGTCAACCGCAAAATTCAGGTAAATTTATAGGTAGCTTTTACTTGAAAGACGACACATAGAAGCAGGTGCCACTAACAGCTGCTTGTGTGTGTGTGCGTCTAGGAAGGTGAACGGCATGTCCGTCTCTTTGCCGTCAGACAAAAATTATGGACTCTTGTTTATAGCTTTACAGCCAATACAAAGCGTATGAAAAGCGTTAACACGTAACATGACATATATGTATATTATAGGGCGTAAACTTGGAACATGGTTTACATGTCAGGGCACTGCATTTACGACACAAATTTTAGACTTGGTGTAAATGCAAGATAGTTAATTATGAGCGAAATATCTGTTGTATATACCTTAATTTTATATATTAGATTTTATTGTATTTATTAATAATAATGTTGAAGGCGATGCGATCGAGAATATAATAAAATGGATAGCTTTTCACATTTCCGCTCGCAGAGGCAAATTAAACGCCCAAGCGAACACGTGTGAGAATGATTTGTAGGGCAAACACGGACGCCACTAAATATTAGAGACAATAAAACGACATCACGCCGTCGGCCGATCTGACTTTTCGTGAGAACGGGAGAGGAAGTCATGGCCATGCGTGCTCGAGGTATGGACATCTGCCGAAGTTCCGAACTTTCCCCTCTTTTTCATGCGCGCTTCTTCCGTTCACGTTCGGCGCTCACGCGTTCAATTCGCCTTTACGACACCGGGCGCCCTTAGCTCGTCTTCCTTCCTTCGTTACTTTCTTGCTTCCGCTTATTGCGCGTCACGCAACAATAAGGTCAAAGCGTTGCTTTACAGCCCTTGAGTACGTACAAAAGCCACCGGCGGAGATCAGGAATTACGATTTGAACGAAATAAACTTTATATACGAAGTTATGACGGTGATCCTCGCTCGTAAAGTTAATCCTTTATGACAGTGCTCGGAATTAGTCTGAACATTTCAGCCGATTTCCGTGGTATACGCCTCCTTTCCTCTCCTTACCGCGCGCGCCGCAGCCGCTAGGGCCAGCGCCGCCGAGCGTTAGGAGCGACACTATCTGATTATGAGTGGGTTCTTTTCCCTATTTATTAAAATTTTAAAAATGTATTAAAATTTATTAAAAATAAATTTTTTATTTTTAAAATTTTATTAAGTGGAAATATTTCAATAGATTTCCACGTCACCCATGAGATACTAATGCTGACGCGTTTTTTTTTTAAATGGTTTCCCCCGTAGACCTATTCCACTAAAGATAA